AGATTTATTCATGTAACTCTGGCATATTATATCACAACATATCACATCATATCATATTACATCATATCATATAATAACATAGCATATCATATTACCAAGAGTGAATAATAGATAAGTTATTTTATTATATTACATCATACCTTCAGGTAGAGCCTCTGCTGTCCTGGTAAACACAGGGCTGCTGTCCTTGCATCCTGCAGATGTACACGCCAGCAGTACGACCTCGTATCTCCCGTACGATATCAGATCTACGGGAACAATTATCAAAATCTCATTACAGCCGGCAATCAAAATTATTGCATGAAAAACCATGGTTTCTTAACCATCACTAACAGCATAAATCATAATTATATCCGTTTTACTGTTTACTGGCTGTTACCGTTTTGAGTATATATTGGGCTACAACGGCTACAATCTATAGACAAGTGCAACTTTGTTTAACCTGACAAATCATTCATATCGACAAATATTTCTGCATGGCACTCTTCAAATTTCTAGTAATTGGCTTCAAAAATCAAACACAACAATGATAGTAACTGCTGAACACGTCAGCACAGATGCAGAAAATTATACAATTTCATCTACAGTTTCACCCCCATCGTTTTTCAAAGTAAAGGCTTGCACATTTGCAGAATCGGAAGTCGTGACAAGCACGATCCGACATAAAATCAATGTCGGTGATGTTCACGCTACCATCGGCGGTGTGTACCTATCGCACGCACGCACACCTGGGACAGGATTGTATCAGGTAAATGCCATGATTAATTATCCAACAGTACCATTAGTCTGCATGAATCATGCTCCTTGCTCAAACCATCGTATGTATATATACCCACACGGTGAAGGCTTTCAAGGCGCACGTGTGCAGTAACAGTGATAGGAGGGGTCAACATAATACACCTGTAGCCAACCCATGTTACACACACTCACTATACACTCATCATCGTTTCTATATTCTCGGAGGTGAATTGTAGGTGTTAGAAGCATGCATGTGGCAGCGGTAGCGGCTGTCATGTCTATCACCCAGCTATCACCACAGGGTTATCACACGCACGCACGCACGCTCGCACATACGCGCGCACGCACTCACACATAGGCACACACGTACATACACACACGCACGCACGCACGCGCGCACGCACACACATACACACCTGTTCACACACGCACGCACGCACGCACGCACGCATGCACACGCGCACGTGCGTGCCTATGTGTCATGTGTGCCACGTGTCTTTGATACCAATAATTAGACACACTAAGACTCAAGTGTCATCTCACACAGTTACGTTTGATCACGTGTGATGCCACCTACTCCTCAGTATACGTATATGTATACGTGTATCCGTGTATGCTCAGTTAATGCTGGGTGTTACACTACCGACTTTGTGTTGGCGAATTGGTGAATTGGACCAACTTCCCAACTAAACAACCGACAATCGGGCAGTGTAAACACAAAAGTTGCATGACCAACCGATCGATAGCAACTAGTTGAGAGATTAGAACATGTTCTATTTACTCGGCGTTGCCGAATTGAAAAATTGGTCCAACTCGCCAATTAGCCAACATAAAGTCGGTAGTGTAAACCGGGCTTAACATTCCTCATATATCATCTGTCACATGTATATTTAGACAACAGACAGACGGATATGTGCCATCTGTGTTTAAACACAGCAAGCTCCAACTCTATAGCCACGCAGAGTTTCATTGATCTTATTGATTTTATGTAATGCAATGAACAACGTTGATGACGCCAAGTGTTTTAGCGATTCTCATAAATTCTGTAGTAACGGCGCGGTGAGTAACATTTCAAACATTGATGATGAAATCCGTGCCGTCTGTATCAGATGATGGGGGGGAGGGAGGGTGGATAGAGAGGTCATGCAATCAGATAGGAAGGATCACGCAATAAGGTGGGGAGGTACGTACTCACAGAAATGCAGAAACGTCGACGATAGAGTTTGAATTAATCTTCGAACATGGATGAAAAGGTTGAACGTGGGCAGCAAAACATTTCAAGTACTTAGTATTGGAGTTTAATAAAAAAAAAGATCGACTATAAAAGAAGCAGCCTGGCGCATGCACACATGTACATCTATCAATCTAATAACATATGTTACAATCGAATACTTGTTGCTATCCACTAAACAGGAAGTAACCACATGCATACTAAATATACAGTAAAACCTGTGAAAATACGAGGGCCACAGAAGCATGTTTTATAGCCCGGTGTTTGTTACATCACGTTCTCTGCCACCATGGTTAGTTAATTACAGTCAGTTATTTAACGAACTATAATGAACTAGTATAGTTATTTAACATACTCTTGATAACGACTTGGCATTAGACCATCACAATAGTAGGGTGTATAGTAAAGTTATAGGCTGGTCACTATAATGTTTCAGATAGTGCACACAGAGGGCGCTGGTATCGGTGAGAGATGCGGCGGCGGCGTACCTGTGACGCGGAATGTATAGGTGTCGCCGGTGAAGCGGTGACGATGCACGACGCTGCCGTTGCTCACGGTCAGGTTGTAATACTGGATGATGCCGTTAGGTGCGGACGGAGCCTGCCACGTGACCAGCAACGCTGTCGGTCCCTCCGCCGTCACCACAGGCAACCTCACACCGTGAGGAATCTCCTGCTTTGTCGCCACCTTCACCTGAGAGATGGCGCCACAGTCGCCGCCAGATATGACGATTAGCGCGTGCGGGGATTTCGTACACCGTGATTCTATGTCATCATGTATTATGTACTATGTTATTATTATTTATTATGATCATGTATTATGTATTATGATTATGTATTATATGCAGGGAATAATTTTCCTGGTATCGCATCGCAATTCGCGATGTATTTTCAGCCATTTGCTACGCATATTTTTTTATGAATCGCAGTTGTGCGATGCAACCCATGCGAGATGTAAACGAAAACATACAAGTTTACAATTTACTTTTATTCTCGGGCTGCTTTGCCCCGTCAATGAAATGCCACGTTACGCCGATTTTATTGATTTGTTAACACCAAGGCCAACGTGACTTTTAAACAATCCTGCACCCCCCCCCCCCCGTACATCAATCAGTATGCCGCCCCAGGCACGTATACACAGCCACGCTGAGCTGGCGCTGCACGCTCTCGCGGGCTGCTTTCTTCGGCGACCTTTGATAATATAAAGTGAGGATGTCGTGGTCGAGGAGTCGGATAGCCGCCCTTCACAATCGCTAGAACTGTATTTCATCAATGTTTGGATATATAACGTAAGGAACCAACATTTGATTAAAGTTCTAGACAATTATAGAGTGAGGTATGCTGCCACAGCAGACATCTCCCCGCCCTATATCCACTCTGTCCTGGATCAGGTCAGGACAACACGTGCTTCCTCGGTCTACCTGGATGTACCTGTTTTTATGGGGGGGAAAACACGCTTACAAAAAAGTCAAACTACGTTGCGATCAGCGTTGCTCGTAAATTTTATGCATATTTAATTAGGTTAATTAATTACCAACGAGCGGCGATCAACACGCTAGCAAGGTTTTATTAATTATGCATTGTATTAAGATTGAGAAGAAACGGCTTGCGTTTGCTAGAACCTCCTTAAGATCTCATTTTCGTGATTACGTTCGGCTTCCTTCGTGCTGTTTTCACAAGAGAAGAAACTTGTCCTAGTTCGTGCGCGATCGTTAGGCGTAGCTATTGAACATCCATTTTTTCTCAAAAATTATCGTTCGAATCATTGTTGCGAGACAATATAAATTTGATGTGCCAAGTCTTTTCATACTCTAAAGTCTAACACGTATATGTTCAGTTCCACGTACTGCATGCGAACTAACAAACGCGCGCTATGAACCAGTTTCTAACGTGTTTCCCCAAACGTGCATGTCTAAACGTTGACTTTATGTCACTTCCTAGCCTAGCATTGTCTTTTAGAACGTTCTGTCTCGTTTCGTAGATCGCATTGTATCGTTCGGAATCGTTTCGAATGACAATACATGGCCAGAGATGCCTGTCAATCGTGCCACGCAGAGTTCAGTTAGAGGTCACCGGATGAAGAGCGAGTTACTGTATACGCTGTGTATTTCGCTGTGGTTTAATTTTCGCGAATTTCGTGAACGTGAGCCCGACTGCGAAAATAACAACACGCGAATAATACCGAATAATTCATAATTCACCGACCGCAAAATTAACCACTCATAAAATTGTCCGTCAAGTCTGAATTCGCGGAAATATCTGTACGCGAAAAATATAGCGTATACAGTACCTGTCTCGGCAACATATGTGGTTCCCCATCATCTCGTAGAACCTTCCCCCACAGCAGACGTCGGTGGGACGGTTCCGCAGCGCGACATAGCTGCTGCCACAGCATTCGTGCAACACCTGGTTGTCGTGTATCACTCTATCACAGCAAGTCTAAAACACGGACAAGTTTTAAATATGTGAGACGTACAGATACAAGCTTATGTACATATAAAAATATACACATACAAGGTTATGTATATATCAGGGTGCGAAATTAACGGGAGTCCGGAGTCAAATACTCCCCGATTTACTGTCGGAGTCCCTGATTTGACATATGCAGGAGTCCATGTAACTCCCTTAAAATTCTGCTATATTACTAACTAGTTCGTTCCAGAGCACGACCTCATGGAATGACCGTATTTTTTCAGCAAATATCCAAAGAAAATTTGGCAGACGTGCATCGCATGAATCTTCAAAATAAGCACGTGTTATTATTGTTATGCTTTAGTTTTGAATTTCCGACAGCGGACTCCCCTCATTTTGCTGTGGACTCCCTCTTTTTGAGGGGCAGGGATCGAGTCCATTGGACTCCCTTGTTAAAAAGTTAATTTCTACCCCTGATATATAGAAGATACACAAATAAGGATATGTTTATAGCAGATATACGATTACAATTTACTGCAAGTTCTCGAATCACAAATTGTTGTAACTGCAATAACATGACATATTATGCATGGTTATAATATTATATGTTGAAAAAACGGTTTGTGCGTTCAATGAAAATAATCTATAGCATATTAGGTTTTATGCAAAAAAGTATGGTTCCAAAGGAACAATCATCAATAACTGGGAGTGTTATACTTGATATACCCACAAATAAAAATACTGGAGAAGTATATAATATTATATACTAATATTGAATCAAAATTATAATGTTTGACTCCGGTGTGATATAAAGTATATTCTGCTAAAGTGCATGCGCACGTATGTGCCAGTATGTGCGTGGGTGCACACGTGTGTGCCTGTGTGTGCATGCAAGTCCAGGGTATTTGAACTCCGAGCACAGATGCTGCACGGAATAAATATACATATTACACATCGTGAATAACGGAACATGGACGTGTAGGTGTGCGAGCCACAGGTGGAATGCAGTGTTATACGGACACCATAGCTAGCCAAGTACCGTATAATTATGTAACATATAATGAAACCTCGCTGATTTACACAGTTGATAGGTGAGAAGTTGAAAGCGGTGTGATGTTGTTCCCATTCTTGCTTATTTCACTCTCTATAATTATGCTAGCTGCCCTATCAAAATGTCTCCCCAAACAAAAGATTTACCTCCAATGCATCATAATTATAGGATATAATGATATATATATATATATATATATTATATTATATATATATATATATATATATAATATAATATAGTACTATAAGTAATTGTATAGTATAATAAAAGTTATATATATATAATTATATATGTATATATATATATTGCTGTGAGGGGTGTATAGCTACCTCTTCGCTGTCCGTGCAACCTTTGGTGGTGCACGCTCGCAGACTGTAGGTGTAGACCTTGTAGGGCTGGATGCTGTTTGTGTCCTCGTACCCGTACCCCAGTCCCCTGTAGACCTCCACTCCATTCCTCGACAGCATGAACGCAGTAACCACGCCTGCACCGCCGAGACGCACTTAATCAACACTAGGGGCCATTCACCGCTGCCAGCGGGAGCCAAGCGGTCGGGGAAATCAGTGATACTGATATACTCTCATAAGTATACTCTAGATACTAGGAATGGCAATACTATATAACCGATAACAATTTAAGGTTTGGAAAGCCATGGAAGAGTATATGCAGTCTATCCTGTATAGAAAGGTCATTTGGGAGAGACCCCTCATCTGTCCTTTATGGACAAGTGTTCGTAGCACAGAGATATACACTAATACAGGTTTTGACCTTATTGGAATTTTGGGATTTACGCTGTTATTTGTAATCTGCAACTGGTAACATAAAATCGGATTGGAAATATTACGTTTTGCTAGATGGGGAAATATAAGTTGAAGACAGGCATTCCTAATATCACCAATTTAAAATTGAGTAAATCCACAATCTGAAGAATGGTATAATTAACTAGAGAATTTGCAGTAACTATTTGAAAGTTATTAAACTTTGTTTCTAGATAATTAATAGTACAAGGCGAATCTACTCATGAAGAAGCTAACATAATATATGTAAAAATCATCTTGTAATAATTTTTACGTATTTCACTTAACCACACAAAATATTTACACGGAGTGTCAGTTTCTGCAACCGATCTGCAGTCTTCGTCTAGAGCTCTGTACCGATCGCTCGCTATATAATATGCACGCTAATATCATGCATGCTAACACGTACGCTGACATAACATAACTATGCACGTCCACGCTCTGCTGCGATGACGATGATGATAGCTTATGCTACACTCATGCTTTCAGTTGAGTGGCTGACCAGCCATTCACTATAGTGTACCCAGGAAACCCACACGGGGCCCTCCTTACGGTAAATAATTAATTTATTCAATATGAAGATTAATATGGAAAAAGTTCATTAGGCTTCCCATGCTATAGGCACAAGCCAACATTGTAACGGCGTGCTACACGCAAACATTCAACTTGTGTTGTTGTACTAGTGAAGCGTGTTTTTGCTTGTTTGCTTTGTGTTTAATATTTCTCAGGTTAAACTCCAAAGATGAAAGTACTTTAATTTTGAAATTTGTCTCGTGAAGCTGCCAAAAGGAAAAAAGAAGGAACTTTAACCATGCACGACTATAGGAAATTATTTCTGACACCCATTTACAACGTTTCACTCTGGAATTTTCTATATTAAAAGAGCACTGCTTGTCACCAACAGATGTGGATTAGATAAAGGATGAGGATTAGGTTTAGGATAAAGAATAAACTAGGTTAGCATTATGATTAGGGATCATGGCACCGATTTGGATTTGGGTTAGGATTATGAGCTTTCCTTGGGGTAGCTATGCACATACTATTGTGTGCTAGGATACATACCACTAATATGTAACATACCCCTACTATAACCAATAAAAGGAATCGTATATATACCACTACTGAGTAACATTACCTGGAGTAGACTTACCACATACCAGTAGGAGTGATAGAATATAAACAACTACTATGTATTATTACTTGAGGTAAGTATGGAGTAGTGACACACATGGGCATTAGGACACGGGGATATATACCATTATTATGTAACATGATATGACAAGGAGTAGAGGAGCAGAGACACACATACCATTAGGAGTGATCGGATCAGTCCAGTTCAGGAAGATTGTGTCGACCTCGTTCGGTTTCAGATGCCAGCTCGGAGGTTCGACACTAGAGGGCGCCTCCTCATCGGTTGTTGCGTTCGCGGGGTCGCTGTGAGTCTTGCCGACGCTGTTGACTGCGACGACGGCGTACTCGTACGTGCTGAACGGCAGCAGACCCATGTCTGCAACGACAAGCAGGCACACGTAGTAGGACAGCAGTCGCCGCGGACACGCCATCATCATCATCATCATCATCACCGCTGCTGTGGTCACCGATGCCATCATCACCGTTGTTGTTGTTGTTGTTGTTGTCGTCGTTGTCGCACAAACTCCGATCGGCAAGCGCGATCAACAACTCTTCTGACTGAACTGATCAGAACTCTCGCGGAGATTTCGCTCCTCAGGGGAGTAACCTCACCGACGATACACGCGGACGCCTCCTGGAGACATTGGAGGGAAGTTGGTAATCATTCTTCTTCTCGTCGGTTCTCTCGCGTTTTGACGGGAGCGTTATAGAGAGGCAGGTGCATGTGGTATTAATCCTGTCAGCCACTATATCTGATTACACATGGATGCTGGACTGATGTATAGATACCTCCAGTTCAATCCAATTCAATTCCATTAAAAAGATTGCTGTGATCTACACTTGGGTTGTGTCACGAGTGGAGAGCGTGTTGTATAAACCCAGGATCATGTTATGTCCTTACACACGGATGCTGCACTGATGTACAGACGCCTCTACGTTAATCCAATCAAATTAAATTCAATCCAATACAATTCAATGCAATCCAATTAAATTAAATTAAATTAAATTAAATCCAATCCAATTCATTTCAATCTAATACAATTCAATTCAATATGATTCAATCCAATTCACTTCAAAAGATCTGTGTGGTTTACACGCCACGTAACGTGAACACGTTCTAAACGTGTGTCTGTGCACGTGGTTACACTACCTAGAACTTATGCACAATGAGCTGTCGCAACCACGATAAACTGTTTCCTGATCTGTTGACAGACGACTTTAGATTATAGTCAACGTTTACGGTTTGAAGTTTTTCCTTGCTGATAATTATTCACACATCCACACGGCGAGAGAGAGAGAGAGAGAGAGAGAGAGAGAGAGCCTCAGTTAATCTCATGACACACACAGCAGCAAGAACTTCAAGCACTTTTGTTAACTTGAGAGGTTTCCAGCCTTTCCGCATCAACGATCAACTTTTCACACGTTCAGGCTGAATCTATAAATCTCATACGATGCAGGAATGCCAGGTACACACACACACACAGACACACACACACGCACGTACGTCATTTGCACACAGACGCCCACCGTCACCCCCACGCCTGCAGGGAATGCTTCACACCGACTGCATCTATTGCATATTTACTTCGACCACGACAAAACCGTTGACAGTGAGCTCTGGTCGTGTCGAAAGCAAGTTTCTTTATACGCGTGTTACGTTCGTGTGTGCGCACGAGTGGAGTGAGGTAATAATCAATGTGCGTGATAGAACAGCGGTTGTTTCATGTAACTAATGCACTCTCTCTCTCTCTCTTTCTCTCTCTCTCTACAGGCTGCGGTGAAGCTGTGAGATCGGCTGCACGTGAAACCTCGCTATACTAGCAGGTAGACAGCTGTTATTAATGGCACTGAGTAAACCTAGTGAGTGGTGTGCGCATGCGCGCGCGCGTGTGTGTGTTTGCGTGTGTGTGTGTGCGTGTGCGCGTGTGCATGCGTGCGTGTGTCCGTGTTTGTATGTATGCAAGCATGTGCGTCCACGCCTGCGTGGGTGCACACACGTGTGTGTGTGTGTGTGTGTGTGTGTGTGTGTGTGTGTGTGTGT